TAGGCTGTCTTGTCTGGCCTCAGTGGGAAACGATGCACCTAACTCCCCTGCAGACTTGATGCTCTGTGGTAGGGAGATACTCAGGGGGCCCCTCACACACTAAGAGGAGAAGAGGAAGGGGGATGGGGAGGAAGAAGTATGTGAGAGGGGGACTGGGAAGGGGCAGCAATCAGGATATAAAATTAATAAATAAATAAATTAAGAGGAAAATATTAGAAAATACCTATAACAACTAAAAAAATCCCTATGTTTTTGAAGAAGCATTATTATGTGACGTGAGAAAAATTTGTAAGACAAGTAAGGGAGATCAGAGAAAGAAATCTGGCAATGTAAAATGAGTAACTTCTCTGTAAGCTGAGAGGCTTCAAGTCATGGTAGGGCCTAACACATATACACTTATTTATGTATTTTTTGATACAGGGTCTTACTGTGTTGATCTGGCTGGCCGGCCTTGAACTCAGAGATCCACCTACCTCTGCCCACAGAGTGCTGATATTTAAAGGCATACACCACTAGGAAAAACATACTTTTTTTAAACCTCCTTTAAATATTTCATAGTTGGTTAAAGAGGTGGGGTGTGTGTATGTGCGTGCCACAATAAATAAAAGTGGAAGTCAGAAGACAATCTGTGAGTTGATTTTGTGGGTCTCATAAATCATAGTCAAGTTGTCAGGCTTGGTGACAAATTTGTTTACCTGCAAGCCGTGTCTCTAGCCCCATTTACATTTATTTTAGTAATTCTAATTAAAAGTTTCTTGGATTTTTATGTAAATCTGAATTAGTAATGTGACAGACTTCAACTTTACAATATCCAGCCCATTAACTTGTTTTCATTGACGAAGCAACTTTTTTAAAAAAATCTTTATGATTAAAACTTTTGGAAACAGCCGGGCGATGGTGGCGCACGCCTTTAATCCCAGCACTTGGGAGGCAGAGGCAGGTGGATTTCTGAGTTCGAGGCCAGCCTGGTCTACAGAGTGAGTTCCAGGACAAGCCAGGGCTACAAGAGAAACCCTGTCTTGAAAAACCAAAAAAAAAAAAAAAAAAAAAAAAAAAAAATTTTTTTTTTGGAAACATGGATGAGGAACATGAATGAGGAAATTTATCTACACTGTAACAAAAAGGACACTTACACCTTGTCCAGTAGGACAAGTGTTCTAATTTAAAAAGTTGGAGAGAGTTTGAGAGGAGCAAGGGCTATTAATTATCCCCAATAAGCAAAGTGGCTCAGTAAGCCAAGTATCTCATCAGCTGAAGTTGATACAAACCATCTTCTACACAACTCTTGCCATTGTAAAATCACCCAATGAAGATCTAAAGATTGCTGGCACTGGGAGAGGAAGTAAGTAGTTTAAGATAACTAAATTCTTTTATCATTCAGAAAACTGATGTCTAAAAATCTACCTATTTGTTACAGAAATGGAGGTAAGTACTAGTGTACAATAGCACTGTTTTAGAAATTGCTTCCATTACTGAACAGAATAGTTTATCCCTCTTTTATAGAGCTTTCTTCATCTTAATGATTTAAAAAATAACTGTGTGAAGTTATTTTCATTAACAAGCTTAGCTTTTAAGGACAGACAGATGACTCAGTGGGGCAAAGGTGCTTCTTGCTAAGCCTGAGGACATAAACTTGATCCCCAGGACTCACTCTGTAGGAGAGAAGCCATACCTCCAAGTTGTCTGCTGACTTCTCTATAGTATGTGTGAACACATACAAACAAATGTAATAAAAGTTTTTTTTTTAATTTTCATTATTTTAAAGTAGAGATGCTTAAAATACAGTTCACAAGGATATCTATCCCTGACTCGGATGACTACAGCTTAAGCTTTCAGAGGCTACCTCACAAGTCTCATAATCCACACAAAAAAACTGAAGGTCAGTGGGAACTATGGACCCAAATTGTGTACTTACTCCACTATCTGAAGATCTTTGGGGCAAATCCCCAGGAAACTCCAAATTCAGATTAAAATCCTGGTTATGAATAAATACTAAGCCAGAAGTCTTCAAATGAACCAAGAACCACATCACAACATAAAGAATTGAATGTCACTGGTTTTACAACAATCCCAAGAAGCCAAACAAAATGGTTTGACTGTAGAAGTCTAACTAAATCATATAATTCTAGATCTACCAGTAAAACATTAAAAACAACTCATCCAAAGAAAAGGTGTATTCTACTATGATGCTTCATGTATTGTTCCTAAGAATTTTTTTTACAAACTTTATAGAAGTCAGCTGACCTTATTCTAATTTTTTCTATGAATTAAACAATTTTAAATGTTTGTGAGTCACATCAGTGTATTGGAACCACACAAAGCAAAACAAATCTGATGAGCTGATAACCTGAAAACATTTGTCAATACAAAAAACCTCGACAGTACAAAACAATTCCTCGTCTTCAGCATTTCTCAGCTGGTAGTCAAATTTCTTTTCCTGCTAACTTGATTCTGTTCTTTTGTAAACTCAAATTCCTCATTAAAAAACAAACAAACAAACAAAAACAAAAAACAAAAAAAAAAAACCTTCAAATGCCAATGAATATTCAGTTAGAGGGCAGAATTTTGGTAGGAACAGTCATCCTCATGAAGAGACTTTCTTTTTTTTTTTTTTTTTTTTTTTTTTTTTTTTTTTTTTTTTTTTTTGGTTTTTCGAGACAGGGTTTCTCTGTATAGCCCTGGCTGTCCTGGAACTCACTCTGTAGACCAGGCTGGCCTCGAACTCAGAAATCCGCCTGCCTCTGCCTCCCAAGTGCTGGGATTAAAGGCGTGCGCCACCAACGCCCGGCATGAAGAGACTTTCTTAAAATCAAAAGGCATATTTTGAGAGGTGCCACTTGTGTGTCAATTCTGTTTTTCCTGTCTTATTATCCCGTTTACTGGAACTTCACCACAGAACAGTTATGAAGCACCACGACAAAGAAGGTAAACTGCAGGCTGATTATATGATTCAACTAAGGAAGGTTTGAAAGAAATAGCTTCCAATTATGTCCCTATGAAAAGAAAATTATGCAGCCTGGTCTCATATGCTTAGAACCTTATTCTTACTTTCAACTGGAATTTTAACTCCAGTCTGAATAAAAGTCAGTATCTAGGTCTTAGTGTCCAGAGGAATCACTGAGCACTAGCCTAGGATGAGGACATACTGATGTAGAAGAAATGAAGTAAAAGAATTGATTTTTATAAAAGATTTATTAATAGGCTTGCTTAGGAGACATTAAGTCACACAAAATAGCATTTAGCTAAGGAAGTGTTGCCTCCAAAAATACCCCCAAAGATATGAGTACAGTAACCAGGCGTGTTAGACATAAGTAAAATTAAGGGTTCTAGGATGTAAATGTTTCTTCAGCAGGATTGAGCAGACATTAGGCTCCATTCCCTTAACAAAGGAGGTAAGCCAACTTAAAACTATTAAGCCCATTTCTCTCTCAAAGACCCTTCCTCTAACAGGTAATTCAAGGAAGTAGCCCTGGGTGACAATCATCTTTAAATATGGTATTCCAGAAAGCCCACTTCTCTTCTTAACAAAAGCTTAATTCTGACAGCTGGACAAGCTGACCATAGGTAGCAACAATAAAGATGTACTTAAAAATAATTCAGGCAATGTGGAATACCTTTGCTATATAAATCTTCTACCTGCCTAAGTGGCCAGACTTGCAGTCTTCTGTCTAAATTGGTCAAAGCGTAAACTGGATCTGGGATATGAAGGGGTTTAAAGATGTGAACATATGTGCTATGCATAAACCTAAGGTGTAAAAAGTAAGTAAAAGTTAAATAAAGTTAGTAAACATCTTCTCTCCTTGACTGTTCCTTTTTGGGCATTAGCCAGAGCTGGGTTCAGGTTATCATTATTACTTTTTTTTTTTTTCCTGAGTCTTTGGAGTGAATCCTGGACATGGGGCGGGCTCACCTATTTCTGCTACAATACAATTCTGCTACAATTACAGGTTGCTGATTTATTATTTCCTGTAAAAGACTTCAATGATCAGTACTTAAAACCCTCCTTGCAGAGCCCAAGGGACAGAGGTGGAAGTAGGAGTCTGTGGCAGCAAATAAAAAATCACAGAAATTATCAATGTTTGAAAATGCCTTCCGGTCTTGCAAGAATAGCTGCCAACTAACCCTGCACATTTAATTGAACATAAATTTTAATATCTATTTCAGAAAGTAGACAATTGCAGCCATAATTATATGCACAATGCAAGTCGATACTGTTCAATGTCTTGGGGCTTTTACTTCGTAATTAAATTGTTAAGTAGGTAGGTGGGCCAGTTCACTTTAAAGAACCCAACCTGTCAAATTAAGTTTGTGTTAATAAAACCCTAGAAATTTGATGAATAACATGTGACCGGCAAAGAGTACACTGAGACAAGATCTGACAATCTGGGGAGGCCAACTAGGACCCTTGCATCCCTGAGCCACCCTGTGTCCCTCTTCCAATGCAAAACAGAAGTCGCAAGATTGGATGAACACGGTGCAGAAAATATCAGGTCTCACCTGATATTTTCAAATCTCTCTCTGATATTTAAAATCAGTAGCTAAGGCCACTACACAAAATGTATATGCTCATCACTTATATGTCTTTAGTGTCGACACCCAGGCTACTCGCAGACCTGCCAGTATCCAGAGTGCCACAGGCCAGTCCCTCGCGTTAACCTTGAAGAACTTAGCTAGACCAAGACAGGAAAGGCCACACTCCACGTCCGCGACCTCGGGGACGTGACCTTCGCCGGAAAGCTGTCGGCTTCGGCCCACTGCACCTTCCCATACCCAGCCTTACTCGGGTAGGATCGCAGGATTAGACGCACTCCTGGTGCCCGCCATGCCGTGGCACTAACTCACCGCCCCAGCTAGCGCCAAGCGCCGCCCGCGAAGAAGTCTCGAAACTGCGCCAACCCCGGCCATGTCTGCCTTCCCGCAAGCCTCAGCGATATACTGCGCTTGCGCGCCGAGCCGCGCCGTTGTCGCGCTTGGAAGATTCTGCGCCTGCGCAACACGCCCCTCCTGGCTTGCGTGAGTGGTGGTGCGTCTGCGCTCTGCAAGCACGGCGGTGGCTGTAGCTCTGGGATAGGGTGTCAACTTCGCTTATGGGCTTTGCTCCAGTGGTAAGTGAAGTACCAATGTCTTTAAAGAGTTTCTCGAGTGGTTCTTCTTGTTTACAAAAACAGAGAGAGTCGGAGGATCCGGATAGATGGAAGTAGGGTTCTCGGGTCAGCTAGCGCAAGCTCCGTAAGAGCCCATTTTGTTGGGCGCTTGAATCTTAAGGAATGGGCGGGAGCTACCGCCCTGGACTTCTGGAGTGGCTAGGAATGATCCCTTGGTGGCTGGACAAGGAGCAGCTGCCCTGGGCTACGCAGAAGCCAGGATACTGAACTAGAAACTATATCCAAAGCTTTCTTTACAGCTGCTGGGAAGCTCGGGGCCCGGCCTGTTGTCATTCTGAAAGCTGCTTAGATCGTGGCTAGCATCCCTTATTGTAAAGTGCTCTGATTTAATCATCTTTAGTTTTTCTAGTGAATATAGCTGAAATTTTAGGTGGAATTAAATGACATAAAAAGTAAACCAATAATCGTAATTGTTTCCTGAATTTTCACTTAATATTAGAATAAGGTGGTCTTCCTCTTGGTGCACAATCTTTATGAACATTATTTTGAATTTTTTAAGTTTACGATGAGCCATTTCCATTTTATTCCTTTCTCTTTGTTTTTTATTAATGAATAAGGAAATATAGAATATATTTATGCACAACGCTTTATATTTTGAATTATTTCCTTGAGCTTTATAACCCCAAAATGGATGTTGTTGGTGCAGAGGAAATAAATATGACAGTTTACCCTACAAGGGTTCTACATTGGTGGGTTCAACCAACTGCAGATAAAATATATTTGGGGAAAACTATGTTTGTTCTGAGTATATACAGACTTCTTTTTTTTTTAACAAGGGGGAAAATAAAACATATCAACTACTTAAATGCCTTTATACCTTATTAGGTATCAGTGATTTAGAGATAATCTAAAGTATTTAGCAGATTATATTCAAATACAGCATTTTGTATGGGAGCTTTGGCTATCTTCAAGGCTTTTGGCATCTGCTGGGGCTCCCCATCAGATATCTGAGGGATGGCCATACATACATAGTAGGAGGTTTTTGAAAGTTACCTGATTTAAGTTAGTATATCTTTCTAAATTAGGCATCTACCAAACTTAATTCTATGGTTCCTATAAACCATTAAATTCTGAGCCATGTATTATGGTTATATATTTTTTGCTCATCATTGCTCATCTTTACATGTTAAACAAAGTTTGTTTAAAACACTAAAACCTTCAAAATTTGAGTTGAATTATGGCTTTATTTGTTTTTTTTTTTGTTTTTTGTTTTTGTTTTTTGTTTGTTTGTTTTGTTTTTTGAGACAGGATTTCTCTGTATAGCCCTGGCTGTCCTGGAACTTACTCTGTAGACCAGGTTGGCCTCAAACTCAGAAATCTGCCTGCCTCTGCCTCCCAAGTGCTGGGATTAAAGGCATGCGCCACCACCGCCCGACGAATTATGTATTTCTTATAATCATCTTGGTTAACTATTTTGTGTTTATTGTATTTGTACATATAAGCAAGCTGAATGTTTTTATGACTTTACATTATGAAAACACCCATCTAATATGGGTACTTTTATTTTATTCTTATTTATTTGAGATAGAGACTATCTATATAGTCCTGGCTGTTCTAGAACTCACTATGTAGACTAGACTATCTTCAAACTCAAAGAGATAAGCCTGCCTCTGCCAACTTGAATTCTGAGAATAAAGACATGCACCACTATGCCTGGCTAGTATGAGTAGTTTGTAAACTAGTAAATTTATATTAATATTGCTCTCTAGCCTAGTTTGTGAGCTATACCCTAATATGAAGCAAGGGATTTCTGTAATCCTGATCATGACCCTCATGTAAAAAGCTTTTCTTCGATTTTTGTCTGTAGAAAACTGCTCATTCTTTAAACCCCAGCTCATATAAAGCAAATGCTTATTGTAGATTCCATTTTATTGTTTTGTTGTTATCTATGTACAGCTATATTAAAGTCTTACAGAGACATCACTTAACAATGGAGACAGATTCCGAGAAATGTATTGATAGGGGATTCCAATTTTATGTAAATCCAGGAGTGAGCTCAGCCTCTCTGACATTAACCAATACTGATGTGGAACTACTATATGTGTAGCTCATTGTCAACCATATTTTTTTAGGGCTTGTGATGGTATGTGTACAGTAAAAGGACATTTGATTTATTATAAGTAATCAGTATAGGCACTCAAATACTTACCAGTCATATAGAAACACTTCTCAGGCACTCCTTGAATGATTTCTAACCAATTAGCTGGGCATACTGAGATGCCTTCCTTTGGTTATGTTGACACACAAAATAATAATCATTCCAACTACCATACATCTAAACCTGAAGGGAGAAATCACCACATTCTACTTGTACTTCACTTAAGACATGCCTCCCACATGACACCGTGACTTCTTGAAATCACATAGGATGCCATGCTGTGTAGCACATAAAGCTGAAAATTATTTTCTTGACTAAAAAAAAATAAATATATATAGATGATATAATCATAGTAGCCATACTCTTTCTTTTATATAGTTAGTATCTTTTTCGTTTTCTTTAAGGTATAACTCCATGAATAACTTAAACGACCCCCCAAATTGGAATATCCGGCCCAATCCTAGGGCTGAAGGGGGTGATGGAAGCAAGTGGAATTATGCCCTGTTGGTGCCAATGCTCGGATTGGCAGCATTTCGTAAGTTATGATTTTCTTGTAACTTTTTTTGTTTTCTGGTCCAAAATTATGCCAGGAGTACCAAGGTTGCAGCATGGGCTGGACACTAAAAGATTGGCTTTAGGACTTGACCAATACAGTGCTATTTTATCCTATACAGCTACTCTGTGACTGTTAGGCTTTCTGATCCTCAGTTTACCTGTTCCTAGAAGGTAGCTTGTCCTGCCTCAATACATTGTGAGGATTAAATGAAGCAGAAGCATTCTGTGTAGGTTAGGTCTTAATAAGCTTTAGCTTTCTCCCATTGATTCACTGTTCTAAGGGGACTTCTTCGCCTTAATTGCCTTCCTTGGGACCTACAGAGAAACTGACCTGAAAGAAAACCAGTTAAGATATATGTTTAGTATATTTAAAGTCAGTATTTGGGCAAGCTTGCCCATGGCGGGGGGGGGGGGGGGGAGAACTATTCTACAGGCTAGAAATCCTCACATTTAAATTGACTAAACACCACTGAGACTCTTACCAGTCATACGCTTGTGCTCTTACTCCTCCCTCCCTCCCTTCCTCTCCCCCCCCCTCTCTCTCTCTCTCCCTCTCTCTCTCTCTCTCAGAGCTATACCTTGAAGAAAATGAAAAAGATACTAACTAGAAAGAATATGGCTATTATGATTATATCAACTGTATACATTTTTTTTTTAGTCAAGAAGATATTTTTCAGCTTTATGTGCTGCACAGCATGGCATCCTATGTGATTTCAAGAAGTCATAGTGTAGTGTGGGAGGCATGTCTCAAGTGAAGTATATCTCCACCTGTGATGGGGACACATCACTGATGTAGAACTGGCTTATATGTCCTTATGTCTTGTGGTCCTGGTTATCATCTAAGAATATGAGAACTGATGATTCAGTGAATCAAAAGCAAATACTGTCCCATATGTATAGTGATCATTTCTGTACGGTAGCTTTTTATGTGCTTGAATCTCTCAGTTCAGAAGTTTGCCATGGAGGAAGTGGGGAGCATTTCCTGTAGCCAATCCAGGACTGTCCCAGAGGGTGTTGTCTAAAGGCTCCTGCCTGTCTTTCTCTATCAGTGCACTGTTTAGCATAAAAAAGCATCTATTGCCGTGGTTTTTTGAGTAGCTTGGAAGCCTTAAAATTATATAACTATTATAAGTGGATTCTCATTCATTAGTGGTGTTAGTCACTTTGAGTGAGTTAGCTTTGAGACTATGAGAGGCCCTGTCATTTTCCATGAATTTTTCAGACTTATATATAGCTTTAATACTAACTCATAACTCCCAAATACATGCTTTTCCTTTATGTATATTCAAGTTGATAAGTTTTGTACTAAGAAGGATTAAAGAATGGTTTATATTTCTGTATTGATTATCCTGGTTAAATAATATCTTCAGGGATAACTGTTGGGTTTTTGTTACTTTAAATCAGGGTCTCAGTATACTAGCCTCAAAACTCACAATCCTCATGCCTCAGCTTCTCAATTGTCGACACTATAGGTGTATGCCAGGACAGCCTAAACAGAGGTAAAATTTTAACTTTGCATTCTTATAAATATTTTTTACTAGTAAGTTACTACATGTTTGAGAAGGTGTATCGCAACATGCACATATCAACTAGCTTTCATCGTGTTCTTGAAGTAACAGCAGATGAATACCTTACTTGATGAATGAGAATCTACTTTTATTCTGATAATTTAAATTTCACAACCAATCCTCCTACCCATGCTGCTTCTTTTATTCCCTCCCTCCCTCCCTCCCTTCCTTCCTTCCTTCCTTCCTTCCTTCCATCCTTTTCTCTCTCTCTCTCTCTCTCTCTCTCTCTCTCTCTCTCTCTCTCTCTCAATTTTTCTTTCTTTCTTTTGTGGTTCTGATGATCAACCAGGGACTTTGTATATGCTAGACAAGAACTCTTATCACTGAGCTACATCCATAGCCCCAAATTTTATAACTTTTAATACAATTCAGAAACTGGTAAAGTTGTGCTTACTTTGAAAACTGTCTGGTATTTTAGCAGGCTTATATCTCCTTTTCTCTGCTGTGCCTTCTCATTCCCTATCTCTCTGTTCATTTTCCCCTTCCTCTCTCATCCCTCTCTTTCCCTTATCTTCTCTTCTCTTCCATAGTAAAGAAACTGTCTTAGATCTAAAAAGTGAAGTGCCTGGTATACCAAGCTTAATCACTTAGTGCAACTCAATTTAGTCAAAAGAGACAGTTTTGAGACCACTGTAGACGACATACAATTGTGAAAAGTGACACAGAGAGGTAATATTGTTTACTCAATTTTCTTAAGGTTACTTCATGAAGACTCAGCATGGGACTCAGGGTCTTGTGTTTGTTAAGATAAAATCACAGGACCACACTTTTCTCTGAAACCTTATAACCACTTCTCTGGAATCTATTGGTTCAGAATGTTATTTAACTGGAGGTTTGAAGTTATGTGACTGTCTTAAAGTCTTCCTCAGATAACACTAAAATCTGATCTTTCTGGGTTTGGTACAATGCTGGTTTTTTTGTTTGTTTGTTTGTTTGTTTGCTTTGACAACTGCACAGTTTGGATGTCCAGGCTGGTCTTGGCTTGGAATCCTCGTCTCGTTCAGCCTACCAAATACTAGGATTACAAGCACTTGCTACTAAGTCCAACCTAAGGTTGAACTTCTTTACCTAACAGCAAACCCACCAGACTTAAGCTATATATTGATGATAACTGAGCTTCCAGCAGTAGTTGAAGCCCATCCATATTAATTTTTACAACATTGGCAATAAATCATGGAGCACTGATGTAGAGCATATAACTGAAAGTAAAGAAAATAGTGGTAAATTTTTCCAGCCGTGAATATTAGACACTAGAAGAGGAACATTGTATGTGCTGTTTTAAGTGCCCAGCACTGGTCTGATTTTAGGATAAGAATTTTGTTATATATAATGTTTTAATGTCTTGGCACCTTTGATTCTTAGGCTTTTACTGAAATAGTGTCATTATTGTGTTACGTATTTTCTTTAAGTAGTCATAAGATTTTAATTATGTCTCTTCATGTGTCTCCATCTTTTTTATTCATGTCAGGTTGGATTTGGTCAAGGGAATCCCAAAAAGAAATAGAAAAAGCAAGAAAAGCATATCATCAGAGAACAGCTGCTTTCCAACAGGATCTTGAAGCTAAATACCATGCTGTGATCTCAGAACATCGGCGTGCTGTTGCTCAGCTGTCTTTGGAACTGGAAAAAGAGCAAAATAGAACAACTAGTTTTCGAGAAGCCCTTATCTCTCAGGGGCGTAAGTTGGCAGAAGAAAAGAAGCTTCTTGAACAGGAACGGGCTCAGATAATGCAAGAAAAAAGTCGGCTTCAGCCCCTGAGAAGTGTCTATTTGAGCTGCCTGGAAGAAGAGGATGACTGGCAGAGGAGAGCCCAGCTTGTGCTGAAGGAGGTGGGAGAAGCTCTCGAGGAACGCCAGAATATCTATTGTAGCCTGATTCTTCCCCGCAGTGCACGGCTAGAGCTGGAGAAGAGCTTATTGGTGCGCACATCTGTTGATCCAGTGGCTGCTGACCTAGAAATGGCAGCTGGCTTATCTGACATATTTAAGCATGATAAGCATTGTGGAGATGTCTGGAACACCAACAAACGTCAAAATGGGAGGCTCATGTGGATGTATCTTAAATATTGGGAACTACTTGTCGAACTTAAAAAATTTAAGAAAGTAGAGAAGGTCATATTAGAAAAATAAGAATGAAATGAAACTCAAGGCCAGAGGGGGTCATTCACCATGGCAGTCTGAATTCTAGGGTCTCTGATATTTACTCTGTTCCTTTGCCACCAAAAGGGGCCCAGTACAGCTACCCTTTGTGAGAACTCAAGTCTTTCCACCCTTTGAGCAGTGCAGTAGGGCCTAAGCAGATATGTTTTTCTATGATGCTATTCAGCAATTAGAGATACTTTTTTTGAAACATTTTTGAGCTGCTAATATTTAGCAAAACAAGTACAACTATATATTTTAGTTCTAGGGGAAAAATACAATATTCTTCCTCTAAAAATGTTCTGTCAGTTCTTACCTCTCTAATAATTGTCCTCCCTTTCCTGATTCCATGTAGAAGTTGTTGAGTAATATAATAGTTACATTACCAAGATTTATCTTGTTTGGAACACCCTCCCCCACCAAAAAAAACCCAAACTCACCAAATATTTCTTATGTCCAGCCGGTACCCCAGTGAATATTTAGAATTGAGCTGGTCCTGTACTCAATAAGCATGTTATTTATTACAGTGATATGCAGTCAATAATATTTGTCATTTAAAAGTAATAGTGTTGCTTTTTTATGTGACTTTATTATTATTTTGAGACAGTCTTACTGTATAGCTCAGGTGGGCCTTATATGTGCAGTCTTTCTGCCTCAGGCTCGCACATGCTATGATTACACGTATGTATTACACTCTTGGGTTGATAATTTTGCATGTATTGATAAGTACTTATAACTCATTTCCATACAGCTTATATGAGTTGACCCTTTGTACATAACTTATATAATCCTTACTCTGGTTTTATGAGCTAAGTACTATTATCTTGTAAACGGTAATTTCTCAAGATACCCAGGTTCTCTGACTTGCCATGGTTTCTAAGGCTCTACCTATGGTTGCCCTCAGGGCTAAGATTTGTGATAGCAAGAAAGATAAAATCAGCAGAGAACAGGAATGTAGAAGACTCTAGATGGAGCCACCAAGTGTTACACTTTAGAACCACAGGGAGCATTGTTTAGTTTAGGGGTATGAATAGAAACATGACAGGTTCCCAGGAAAGCTCACTGGAGGCTATCAAGATTTTGATAGAGTAAGGGCTATTCATGTGACCCTTCACTCAAGTTCATTCCCACAGGAAGGCAAGTGGTAGAGATCACTCACAGTCTGTAAGCAGTTTAGGTATGGTGAGCCACTCTTGCTAGTTACCAGTATTGGGAACTCCCAGCATCTAGACATCTATTATGGACTAGCCTTGTGTGAGGATGAAGTCTCTTTTTTTTTTTTTAAGTTTATTTATTTATTATATGTAAGTACACTGTAGCTGTCTTCAGACATCCCTTAAGAGAGCATCAGATTTCATCACAGATGGTTGTGAGCCACCATGTGGTTGCTGGGATTTGAACTCAGGACCCCTGGAAGAGCAGTTGGTGCTCTTAACCGTTGAGCCATCTCACCAGCCCCTGAGGATGAAGTCTTATGTGAGCTTTTCCACATAGCCTTATTTTACAGAGGATAGGAATCTGGAGCCTTGATTTGGAGAAAGAAATCTGTCTAAGTCATAGGTAGTATTTTGTTGGAGTGGATCTGACTTGGGTGTTTGATTTACAGACATAGGAACCTGTGTGTGGTTATTTGTCAGTGGCCATGCAGGAACTGAACAACGTGGTCAGTTTGTGTTCAGATCCTATATTCCACCCTGTACATATCTTTCTGTGTAGAGAGATAGCAAACTTGAAAATAACCATAAAACAGTTCATTTATAGAATGGCTGAGGAGCACTTGGTTCATGCTTCATGTTCCACAATAAGTTCTCAGAACCATCTTGACAGAGTTGTCAGCAGGCTCTCTGAGCCAAAGCCAGGTGATTCCGGCTTCAGATAAAGCTCTTGTCAATAGATATTTACCATGCCTTTCTGCTGTATTACCCGTATTTTGAGAAGTTTTTTTTTTCTAGTATATCTAAGAAACAGTTTTTTTAGATTGTGTTTCCTAATGAATTACTAGATTCATTAGATTCTTGAAGGAAGCCTCATAGGCTCTGGTTTCTGTTACTCCACTGATTTGCCCATATGATCTTGGATAGACTACTTCATGACTTTCTCTAAAGTTTATCTTTTAAAATGACACATTTTCTGTGGGAGTCACACCAACTGTTTGAGTCTGTGGCATGGCCACCTTCCATCCTAAGTCTGTTTTCTGTCTTTTTAAACTGAAAATGTTAGCAGCATATTTTTATTGCTGTTCAGGGCCAAGTGGAATTACTTAGTATGGAGACAGACCTTGGGGGTAGAGATAGCATGGGAGGATCTGGTATGATTTACTGGTGGGAGGAAGTATCACAGGAGGTCCTGAAATGGGGAGGTACCTGTAGAGGGGGTCACATGGAGAAGAACTACATGTGAGAGTCAAGTGCCTTGGTTGGCACAAGGATGGTTATAGAGCTAAGTTTTTACTTCAGTCACAAAAGAATTATTTTCATACTCTTAAGTTTTAAAATTTAGATTATTAATTAAATAAACTGTACATAAGTTAAGCCACACTCCTATTTTATTAGCATTTAATTACAGTAGTTCTTTGGCAAAACAAAACTGGAAATGAAGTCTAAACAAGTATTTCTTGTGTGGTGATTTGTTTCTCAAAGGAGTTGCAAAGGGCCAGGCCTCAGTCACTCTGAGGAGCAGTGATTTGGGTGTATTATAGATATGTTATCATCTACAAAGTTCATTCTTGAAAACTGAGTCACAACAAATTTCAGAAAAAATCATCTCAGTGTCTTCAGTAAGTTTACAATGTTGTAATAGGCTACATTCATAGCGGTCCTCTGTCACATGTGGCTGCATATACTGTTCAGGTTGGACATGCCTATCTTAGGGTCTAAACTCTGAGCAGAAAACAGGATCAGAATAATGCCAAGAAACATTGGGCATATTTCAGTGACTAAATGTCCTCAGTCACCAAAAGACAGTAAAAAATCTGCTTCAATTGGAAACAAAGCCAAAACAGCCACCGACAGAAAACTGATCATCACCCCCATCCCCCACATTTCTGTGTAGGCAGATGTCATCTGGTAAAATGTACAACAGATAGAACATAGCTAAACTGCTAGCTCAGGGGTCTGGTTCACTTTTATTGTCAGTGTATATTTTTTTATGGGCTGCTGCTTCTATATATTTTCCGTGATGAGTTTTCTCATTTCTCCCCCTCACAGCATCAGAGCTAGGTGGTTGACCCTGTTCCCACTACATCCTGCCCTAGTGGTCACATTCTCCACCTTCTGTTTGAGGTGGCTTCCCCTCTGCTTTAGGATCTTGCTGTGTTAACACACAGGGGCACCTCATGTCTCATTTATATATCTGTCTTCTTCTTAGAGCATGTAATTAGTATGCCTGCAGTTTTGTTTTTTTTTTTAAAGAAATCTTATGGCAGTGTTGCTGCTGATGACAAGGTTGAGCCTGATCTTTTGGTCCAAGACTGACCTCAGGGCACTAGAAACACACAGCCTTTTTAGCATGATTCTAGGACCTACTCCATTTCTTCTAGTGCTCTGGAAAAGTTTTCCAAAGCAGTTTTGAAAGCTTGCAGCAAGAAAGTACCGAGTTCATTGCTGGTTTCATGAATGTCTGGATCAAAACTTCCAAAGAGTGGGGTGGAGGCCTGGATGTCCTCCCGGTTAGCTCGAAGCAGTACTGCCCGCAGATCCTCTGCAATCATGTTGTATTTCTGTTGGTCGAATTTGGACACTGACAGCTCATCCTGGGGGTAGATAGCACCCTCAGGGTAGCAGTCCTTTGGCACTGGGAACTCAATGTGGCGCAGCCGAGGGAGTTCGCAGAGTGCAGCAAAAAGGCGCCGGAGAGCACTGCCTGATAGTGGGTTTCCAAGGAACTTGAACTGCTGGAGCTGGCTGCAAGGGCTGAGGCCCAGAATCATCATGTTAACATGGCTGTCTGTGATGTTGCACTCCTCTAGGGTGAGCACTCTCAGCGTTTGGGCAGCCTGGCTCAGCAGCCTGAAGAAGGTAGAAGGGTACAAGTGTACCAGGTTGTGTCCACTGAGGTCCAGCACCTCCAAGTGGGCAGTGTGGTTACAGTCTGCTAAGAAGGATATGTCTTCATGATTAAGGGCACAGTTGGCTAGGTCCAATACTCTTAGTGGGGTCTTCAAGGGGCTGTGAGGTAGGCAAAAACATCACAAGTGTGAGGGTCTCAGGTGAGCTGGAGTTTTGGTGGAGATGAACAACCTAACCACTTTTCTATCTTAGAGATCACTGACTGTAGCCTGCCAGAAACTCCAAGCTGACACTTCATTTCACATTGGCATATGAGTTAATGATATTTTTAAGCAAAATTTAAAGAATCAAAATAGTTTGTGAAATGTGAAACTCATGTTTCTTCTAGAAGTCTACAGCTGCTGAGCCTTTTGATCAATCAATAATTGAACCTGAAATGGACCAACACTGACTTTCAAGTTAGGTAGGGAAGTTATTCATATGATCTCAGAACTATCAGAATATTGACTGTGAGAACAGCAAAAGATAGAATTAGCTTGAAAGAGAGTACTACCACTCTGATGACTATAGAACCAATATAGTTTTCAGGGCTGAGAAGAAAGTCCAGCAGCCTGAGTGTGGGCTCCATAATCTTAAATTCACTAGTCATCCAGTATCATCTGGGGGGAGGTGCGTCTGGAGCAACTTCCCCACCCAGGGTTGATGAGAATATATATTTTCTGGCACCCTGGACCTTTCTGTGAACACCCCCTTCATTGCCCTTGTTAAACAAGGCAGTATGTGGTGGGGTCTTGTTCCGGATCCTATTCTTGCTGCCTCTCCACTGCTTGCCCATACATGATAACCTATTACTGGGACAGTACTCTCCACATGAAACCACCCTGACCTCAGAACTACTTGTCAACTACCCTCCTGTCCTTCATTGTACAGTTGCTGAGGAGGAGATTGGTACTGATAGCAGTACCAGGATTTCAGGTGAGACAATCCAGCGAACAGCTGACAACATTCTCACTATGCTACCTTCCCATTCCTATCCTGGGAAAACTTTTTACGACACTAAATATTGGATAATTCATTATACAACACTAGTCAGTAGAAGGTCTGGTTGTGACTTCTGTGTTGTTTTCTAGTAAGCTCCCTTCTTCCTCTTTCTCTTATGTCTTCTTCCTTCTACCTCCTCCTCCTCTCTGATGCTGAGAAATAAAACTAGGGTCCTGCTTGTTGGTATCACAAACCAGCTTGACAAATTGCCTCCAAACCCAGTGATGTCACCCATAGGTGACAGGGACATCCACATCTGTTGCCATGGCAATCACATACATTCGCAGAGTCCACTTCCCATCCTTACCTGTGAGTGGGTACATCACAGCCTAAATAGAAGGCAGACTCTTCCTGACCTTCACCCCTTTTTTCTCTCTTTTTCTCCCTTTGTCTCTGTCCCCACCCCCAATAAACCTCTGTCAAGTGGAACTGCATTGGCCTGGTGTGGTCTGTCTGGATGCAAGCTGCCATTCCCATACAACACTGCTAGTGATTTATCACTCAACCACCCTATATTCTCAGCCTTTGTTTTTGTTTGCTGAAATAAGGCCTCTCTTTGTAGTTGACCTCAAACTTAAAATGCTACTGGCTATGACTTCTGAGCACCGGGATTATGGGCAAGCCCCATGTCCGAGTTTTTGTTAATTGAAAGGCATCTTCCAAACTGGTTCAGTGTTCTGATTCTTTCCTGATGGCTCTTAACTCTTGCTGGTCTGGCCAGCACATTCCCAGAGAACATTGTGTAAATAGATCCTATCCCTATTCTCAGTGACTCCAGCATGCTTTCCCAGACCCTGTGCCCAATTATCTGAGACTTACCTAAGCAATGTTTGGATCTTCCCAGTCAGTGTAGAGAAAGCTACACTTAGCTCAGTGAGCTGGTTCATCTGGCTGAGCTCCCAGGCAATAGAGGTAAGGAGGAGATCCTCGCCCTCTGGATTTGGGGCACAGGTTGGGGGAGCATCGAAGGCCTTGGTGGGCAAGGTGAGTGAGGTCAGCTGAGGGAAGCCCACCTGGGCCAGCAGCTGCTGCACGTGGCCAGCATGCAACCGTACATTGTGTACTACCTCCAACTTTCTAAGGTTGCCTGGCCCAGCCAGGCCAAGCACTTGTAGGAGCTGCCCAGGGCTCAGGCTGTCTGCCCGGAGTGAAGGGCAACAGACCCGCAGAGGTGCTGAGCCTGATGGCTTCAGGGCCTGTACCACCATGTCAAAGTTGCCTTCTGTGACAAAGAGATCAGCAAAGACTTCAATAGGGCCCCCAGCTGTACAGGGCTGTCCTTGGAGCTGGCAGCAGGTCCTAGCAAGCATCTTGGTACGGCCCCACCTTCCTAGTGCCCTCCCACAAGGACATTGCTGCACCTGTACATCCTGGATGCCAGTGAAATCAGCTACCCGAAGGCGGTTGTTTCCACTTTTCAGCACATGGTCAGCTATGCCCTGCATACAGGCCTCCAGGCAGGCCTTGCAGGCACGATCACGCAGGTCTTCAGGGTGATCAGTGTTTGGCCTCAGTAGCACAGCCAGCCGGAACTCCTCCAGTGGCCAGTGACTCAGCAGGGCACGGGTTACGTCTGCCTGTTCTAGCAGGTAACTGGCCTTGAACAGAAGTGGGTAGAGGTTGTAGGCTATATTGTCCAGGTTCTCCTGAACCAGCCGGGAGTGGGACACTAAAGCTTCAGCAGAAACGAAACGAAGCGAGCTCATTGTGCCCCTGGTCAGAATGGTGCTGTCCCTGCTGTTCTTCCCAAAGCGTATGAGTTTTGTGGCTATTTTTAGCTGCTGCTGCTTCTGGGCTCAGGATAGAAAGTGGTAAACTGGCCCTTGTGGTCATCTGACTGCTATTTTGGTCCTTGGGTACCAGTTTGGCTGTAACTGTGGAGGCATCTGCCTGTCTGTCTATGGCACCCTGTTGATGAAAGCAGAGCTCCTTGGTTTTGTTGTCCAAAGTGGGAGTACTAAGAGGCTAAGCTCTAGGTACTTGCACAAGTAGCTTAAGGCTTACAATACAAATGGATATTCTGCCCAGCTGGAACTTATTCCAGTCAAAAGATCTAAGTGAAGTGAAATCCTGAGCTGCACTTGGATGGATGAAACGGTGGTCTTTGGATAAAACCCTTTTTTTTTTCCTAATACCTAGGAGTCAGGAATGCAAGGGCCAGGATAATGGGGTAGGTATCTTAGACAACTCTTTTAATATTTTAAGAATACTGTGTAGCCGCCTGTGGCCATGGACCAACTGGCTTCACCTGAAAGGGGGGCTGAAAATAAAGAAGGGACGGAGGGGAAGAAAAGATGAAGCCAAGACAAAGTTCTCAAGGCTCGAAGTTTAATGTTCAGCTCTTAATTTAAAGGCAAAAGCCCCACCAAACCCCTTCTTGTTTCAGCCAGAGATGGGTGGAGGAACCCATCCTTTGTCACTGTTGGTGATGGGTGGAGGAACCCATCCTTTGTCGAAGCCAGAGTTATCTCCAGGCAAGCTCAGCGGGCAGTCTATTCTTCTAAGTCCCTGTAGCAGGCTGTACCGGCAGCCACAGTGGGTAACTCCACCTAAGTTCTATTATTTGATCTATTGTGGTAAACAAGGTCTTTCAGGCCTGCTCAAGACTGGGGTGAGGGCACAATACTGGCTGTGAAGCTGCACCATCTCTTATCCACAAGATCCTTCTTTGCAGAAGAAAGAGAAACGATTTCACTGAAAAAGAGATGTGGACTGGGGCTGCAGAGATGGCTCAGCGGTTAAGAGCACTGAGTGTCCAGAGGTCCTGATGAGTTCAATTCCCAGCAACCACATGGTGACTCACAACCAACTGTCATGGAATCCAGTGCCCTCTTCTGGTGTGTCTGAAGAGAGTGACATTGTACTCGTATACATAAAAATAAATAAATCTAAAAATAAATGTGATATGTATTTCCAGGAACACTCAGTTGGAGAAAACTAATTTTAAAAAGGGGGGGGGGGAGAGATGGACTAGTGAAGAAGGTGATGCTGCAAATAAAATTCAGGTACCTATAGGCTGTGTGTTCGAAGCCCTAGCCTAGGTAGGTATTGAATGGTTAGATCCCGCCCTTTCATCAGCCCTATCACCGGGAATAGGCAGCAGATTCTGGCTCATAGGTTCCCATGGTGCCAGCTTTATAGGAGAGTCATAACAGAGAGTGAGAGAGTGAGAGCAGGGACTCTTATCTATTATGACCAAGGGGTTTGAATCCCCCGCAGGGAGAGGAGCAACAGGTCCTGCTCCACTCAGGGATCGTATACTGGATTTGACTGTGAGATTATCAGCTCCTCAAGAGGGAAGAGAGTACACCAAGAGTCAGAGAGTTTGTGGAATTCAGTTACTTCTTTAATGATAATGCATAGCAAGCAAACACAAATGCTAAGGCTATTGCTACAAGATATTGTCACATTTCCTATAGGTTGCTTCTAACAATATGCATAATTAACACAAATAAGTTGCTAATTACCAAAGAAATAAGCATAGCAATAGACACATCATTCATTCATGGATTATACGACCTGAGTCCTTCTGATGGTGTTGGGTTACAGGTTCAAGTCCTTGAAGGTGGGGTCAGGCTTCAGCTTCCAGATAGTTGAATTGCTAATTTGACCTCGCAGGGTGCTTGACCACGAAGCTGGAGGCTTTGTCTCTCTGCTTGAAGTCGGAGCTCAACCTTGAAGTTGAAGGCATAGGTCTCTCAGTTAACTCTTTGATGAGCGGGTGCTGAGGAGGCTTTGTCCAGAGGATCACATTGCCCAGTCATGGCTACAAGTGTGATGAAGTGCTCTGGACGGGCTCCTCTTTCATGCTGAATTTGGAGTTACTCTTGACGTACATGGCAGATAACCACTCGTGTCTGGTTATCTCAGCACAGCTTCATTTCCAGACTTGCCTTTATAAGTACCAGACATGTCCACACATGTCTTTCAAGTTTCCTATTACAAAATGGAGTTGGTCCTATTTAAGGGCCTGCTCCTTACAGAGGGAGAGGTAGGAGGCAGACAGTGGCTGTTCCAGGTGAGTGTCCTGCCCTCAGGTGTATTCCAGTTTTCCAGTGTGACCTTCTTTGACTTCCTCCTGATACAGAGCTTTATCTCTCCCAGAAACTCTGCCATGGACAGAGATGAGAATATGTTGCCATGGTGGAGCCCCAAGCACTGCTAGGTGGGTAGGATTTATATGGAAGGTAACCCACGACAGGACTTTGCCCTAATGTTACCCCTTTCCCCCTCCCAAATCTTGGTCTCTGAAGTATTACCATGTCTGCTAAATAAGAACCCAAGACTAGTGATACCAAATGTCTATCCTTTAAGGTATAAAATTTGAAGTACATGTGACTAGGTCTATGTCTAAATTCACTACTGTATGAATCACTTTGAAATGTGTTTGGAAATATTAGTATCCATAGTGAACTATATAATTTTTACATGTTCCACAAGTACCTTGAATTTCCTGCCATGCTTATGGAATTTCACAGGTGAAATGGATACTTAAAATATTATACTTATGTGTGTACATGTGTATGTACACAAGCACAGGCATGTGTGTGCCAGAGTATGCACGTGGAGGTCAGAGGACAGATTGCATGAGGTAATTCTTTCCTTTGATAAAGTGAGTTCTGGGGATCTAACTCTGATTGTAAGGCAGCAAGTGCATGTGCCTACAAAACCACCTTGTTGGCCCTGAAATGGATAATTTGACATCATATATCTGTTTATGCAATAAAAACTTGTTTTTTTTTTTTTTTTTTTTGGTTTTTCGAGACAGGGTTTCTCTGTATAGCCCGGGCTGTCCTGGAACTCACTCTGTAGACCAGGCTGGCCTCGAACTCAGAAATCCGCCTGCCTCTGCCTCCCGAGTGCTGGGATTAAAGGCGTGCGCCACCACCGCCCGGCTTAAAAACTTGTTTTTGTATTGATTGTCATCGTGATTGCTTCTCAAATAAAGTTGTATTGAAAAGCTCATGTTCTTTTTTTGTCTGTAACTTCTCATGACTTCATATTTCTGATTGCAAGTGAATACAAGTCTCCAGCATTAACTTGCAATCTCCAGATTTCAACTTGAAGAAAAATCTCTCTCTCTCTCTCTCTCTCT